TAGCGGGACCGGTGAAGCCGTTCATAAGATACTGGCCAATTTGTACCCCCAATTTTTATTTTTTCCATTTTTTAGCGCCTTCGTAAAATGCCTATAAAATCTGAAGGAACCAAGATTTAACAAATCGCCTTGCGCTAAGATCCATCAAACACCGTCCTCTACCACATAGAAAAATGAGGCAAATCTGAGAACGTCGCTTGAGCAGCTGTCTATACATTTCGGGCGTGGTTTACATGCAATGACTGATATATATAAGAAAAAAATCCCGCAAAAGGATCAGGGTCCACAACGGATCAGTAGTACCTACGTTTACTAATAAGTTTATAGCTGAATGGTTGATAATCCACTGACAAACTGTACACATTTTAATACATTAAAGGACAAGTAGACGGAAGTAGAATATGGGTGACGTAGTTGAAAATATCGGAGACAATAACGGCGAGTTGCCAAAAGTGGAATGTGGGCGACGCGGTCGAGAATATCGGACAGAATAGAGAGCATGGGCGAAAATAGAACATCGGTGAGGTGGTTAAGAATATCGGAAAGAATAAGGACGATCGACGAAAATAAAAGTAGGGCCATCCCATCGAATATATCGTAGAAAATAACAACGAGCTCACATAATAAGAAGTTTGTTGTTATACGACGATTGTACCGTAAAGAATAACGTTGCTGATGTAAATTGTCTCGAGTAGTTGCGTTGGGTGACTTATCATATAAAGCCGCCGATTGCTTGTAGGCTTCTAAGAAGCAATTTTTCTTGACAATATGTAGCGCACGACCTCTAATCTGTCTTTACACATTCTACCGTAAGCTTTACTAGGCATAGGCCAATCACAATCTGGTAGCACTAGTTTCTACACAAGAAAAAATTGATTGTGGCGCCACCGAATACTATTTTTCTATGACTGGTCTTTACACATTCTACTACACGTATTTACACATTACTCTTTATAGTCGAATGTAGCCCTGTCGTTAATGGTTTTAGTCACACAATATACGAACAGTAGCTACGCTAGTTTAAAACCCGTTTGCGAAAGTTAATTACTAATTATTACATAACGAGATATTGAATACAATATTTTATTCATCATACTTATACAGTTGACTGTACCCGGTATCATACAAGTTACAGATGTTTTTCTGAAAATCGGTATTCTTGGTTTGAAAAATTTTTTTTAATTCTCGAAAAAGTAACGTCAGTATTGCCCTCTTCGACCCCAAAATCTCTTCGGCAGATTTTTATAAAAAGAAATTGTTTTTTACAACAAAGTCGCCCTTTGTGTAAAAAGAGTGATCCATGTAATCATTTGAAAAAAACAACGCCAGATTCGCGTTCATCGACTCAAAAAACTCCTTAGTAAAATTTTATAAAAAACCTTTTTTTTGTAAAAAACGGCCCTTTGTTTAAAAAAATCTTTTTAATAAAAATTTCAAAAAACTAACATCAGATTCGAAGTCTCCGTATCAAATACCTCTGGGAATGTCTTTTCGGAAAAATCGATTTTCGATACTTTTTTTACCCTGTTAACATACGTATATAAGGTTGGCGGCACGCAAAAGTCGAGCAAATTTTTTTGGTGGATT